CCTCTCCTATAAGGTGTAATTATGCCTCACCCCAATAACAACCATCAACTTCAAATTCTAGCTTGAAAGGTCAGTCATATCCAGCCCTGACAGCCTAATCTCTGGGTAAAGAGACACCTGAAGTATGATCTATTTAATTCCGTCCAGTGACATCACTTACTGTTTTTTATAATGATGTAAAGTAATTTCTGATTGGTTTTCAGTTTGTACAGGATAGATACAAGTTTTTTTATTGTCAGATTAATTCTGGGTGTTGCCGGCAGTGGTGTAAATGCAGTCTGAGTTAATTATAAATCTTTTCCTTCATTCTACTGTTCTACATTAAATGCTCTTGATTGTAAACGTGGCACCCCCAACATGAAAAACACATGTTCTTACTTTTTGTAATCAGACTTAAGCCTAATATTTACAGTCTTGTTTTTCAGCATGTTTATTCACTCAGATTCACAGACAAGTCACTCCTTTACCTTTTTATAGCCACAGTTGTCTGCAATTCTCTTGAACATTAACAACATTACAAGTCCATATTTGCCTCAAAACTTCCATCATGTCAATTTATAGTTGGCAAGATCACTATGAATTTTGCAACCGGAAATTCACAACTTCGTTCTGAAATTTGCATTTTGTTTGACTACTACATAATATTTATTGCAAATTCATAGTGAACTTCGGTAATTGCAAAAGAATTGTGGAAACTGCTAATGTCACAAGGTTTTTGAAGTGCTGTAATTTTACATTATTTTATCAGCTTTATTATTGATTATTTTGCAACTGGGCTGCCCAGATTAACATGTCTGTGAAAGGTTTTTCCTTATGTCAATTCAACAGATCATGAAAACAATGCAACAGAAGAAGATGAAGAAAAAGAAAAAAAAATTGAAGGTGGATGTGTTGCTGATGATAATCTTGGTATGCATTTTTTTGTGTGTTATTAATGATTATAATGACACTACTGTATTTGGGAATGACTGAAACATCATAGTGCATCAACCTTGTTTCTAACGTTGAACTCTATTCCTCCTTGCTGATATCAGGACTGGAAATAACAGTCGGTCATCGGACATTGTCCGACCAAATTTTGAATATGTCTGGCCAATTTCACATTATGATCGGACATGATGTCTGAACATTTCATCAACACCAAGTTATAGTTCATCCATAAAATTTGGTTAGATACATTGTTAAAAGGCTCGAAATTGTGACCAGTACGCTCACCAATGCGGTTAAAACTTCATTTTTGGCGACCAAAAATTCTGGTTTAGTCGACAGCCCAAAATACGTCTGCGTTCACAGTACAGGCTATCATAATGGCGACTTCATAATGGCGTTTCTCTGTGTTGATGATCAAAAAACGGTTATTTTCTCAGACATTATGTCCTTCCAGAACTACATCGTGAAAGATATTTGCTTCTATAACATTCAACATGAGAAAAGAAAGCAATTTATCATTTTGCTTTGCTGTAATGGATTACAGACATTGAAAAACTTGCAAATGGCTGAACGCGTTTGAAATCGCCCTTTTATGCATTGCAAACCCTTGAGCATTGAGTACGTCATGTATGCCTACCGATTGTGTCTCTTGTAATGCATGANGGGCCTTGTAGGTATACCCAGGCCCCTTTTATTGTTTCTTTAGGAGGGTTCGCCCTTCTGATGGCGTTAAAAAGTGGTTTGAAGCACTAACTGGGAAATTCCTACCTTTTGTTATCTCATATATTTCTCACTTCATCTGTTCATATAATTTGAATTATAACTTCAGGCCGCTTCGCGGCCCTAGTATAATTCTCATTTCACATTATGATCGGACATGATGTCCGAACATTTCATCAACACCAAGTTATAGTTCATCCATAAAATTTGGTTAGATACATTGTTAAAAGGCTCGAAATTGCGACCAGTACGCTCGCCAATGCGGTTAAAACTTCATTTTTTGCGGCCAAAAATTTTGGTTTAGTCGACAGCCCAAAATACATCTGCATTCACAGTGCAGGCTATCTTAATGGCGACTACGTTTCTCTGTGTTGACGCTCAATAAGGGTTATTTTCTGAGACATTAAGTCCTTCCAGAACTACATCGTGAAAGATATTTGCTTCTATAACATTCAACATAAGAAAAGAAAGCAATCTATCCTGTTGCTTTGCTGTAATGGTTCCAGACATTGAAAAACTTGCAAATGGCTGAACGTGTTTGAAATCGCCCTATAATGCATTGCAAACCCTTGAGCATTGAGTAAGTCATGTATGCCTACCGACTGTGTCTCTTGTAATGCATGAATTCTTCACTGACATTACATTAGCTACGTACACAAAATTAGCGGCCAAAAAAGTCTTGGAAATTTTTTCTTTACAGATTTTATGCATTGAGTTCTTTTCTGAATAAAATTTCTACTTGATTTTTATCACTTAGTCGCCAAATGGCCACTCAATAATTTTTTTTTTATTTTGGGCCCTTGACTCTGACAGTTTGAGTCATGTTTGGACCCCAGAGTCAACTTTGGTC